TGTCAATGGCTGACAGCAAATTATTTTCTATTCATAATTTCGCCTATAAAATACCAGAAGGTAGTTGATTACAATTTCCCAAAGGCTAAAGTGGCATTTAGAAAACGGCCGTGTGTTTCCCAATCAAGAGTCCAAAGCTCAACAATATTCAGTCTGTCACAACACAAAGACGAGCAGCGAATGGCCTCATCGCAGCAGCTGGAGCCGCTGTCTCCGGTGAAATATGTGTTTGCTTCATTTGCCTATCGATTACCGACGTCAGATTTAATGGCATTATTTCAAAGAAGAGTCTCAAACACTTAGGCAAATGAATGCACTCATTAGTTTCAGGTTTTGGCAAATAAATCCGCAGATTAGTTTGGGATTGGTTTGTGATGAGGAAAGACAAGCAGCCAGAGACTGCAGTCAACTTTTCACAGCTTTTGTCTGGCACTTTGTTGTTGGTTAATTGGGAGGATTTGCTGTGTTTGCCGTTGCTAAGGTCGAGTTGTTAAACTTTATAAAGTCTCTTTGAATTTCAAGCAGAGCGCAGGGTCACGATGAATGCGAAGATGAATTATTATTTTTAAACAGTAACACAAATATCATATGATAATTGTGTTTCTTGTAATGTGTTACTGTTGCACTTTTTTGGTGTAACTTTTATTTTGTGTTCGTGATTTTTTTTTTTTTTTGCCTCAATTGCTGTGTAAATGTGTTTCCTGGTTGAAAATAGAAAATCTGATAATGGGGAAACTTTAATCACCTGTGAAAAGTTGAAGAGTGAAGTTTTGAGCTGATGGCTCAATCTGATACTCTGAGTTGCTCTCTCTCTCATTGTTACATAGACTAATTATTTGGAGTAAGATTTTGTTATCATTTTTATGACAAAATGAGCAAAATTGGATAATGATGATCTCTAATGACGCGCTAAGAGGTTGGAAAACACTGGCCTAAGTTATAAAAGGCAGCAAAAGTAGGACAGAAGCAGCAAATTACTGCTGTTCTTACCTCAGTCTTCAACTAAAAAAGAAAAAAGGATATACAGTTTGTTGGCAAACGTCTGTGACTACAGCCTGTTTTATCTAAAAAGGTTGTTTTTGGAACGTAAATTATTGTTATACTTTAGATAAGATAAAGACTGAAGCCATTCTATAAATGTGGAAAATGAAATGTTATAAACTCAAGTAATTGACTTGTTTGTGCTTCGAAGAGCAGAGATATATAAATATGCAATTTCCAACTTCTATTTTTCTTCTCATTTTTTTTTAATTAATAATCTTGCTTGTTTAACTGTCTGGTTTCTTTGTGAAAGAAATGACAAAGGTTTCCTGTTTAACTACCTCCGAGTCGTGCAACAAATGCCTTTTTTTTAGATTAGCTTTAGATTAATTAGAGGTTGAAATCGACTCGTGTCCTTCTTGAACATACAGCTCTATCACCCACATACGCTGCAACAGTGGTGTGATGTGTTAATAAACCCGGAGGATCATGGGATTGAATTTTTTCTCGTTAATGATACATGACGTGGAAAGGGCAATAATTAAAGAGCCGTGGCAATTATGGTGGTCCTCAATCTTGCAGCCTTTATACAAATATAAATACTTCAATATCCATCGACAGGCTGGCCTTCAGTGAAAAGGTCACTGGTTCACATCATGAATCGGCTGAAGTTGCATGGTCTTCGCATGTACGTGTGGGAGGGTTGTTAGGTTTGTGTTGAATTTTCTGTTTTTCTTTTTTTTTTTTCTCTCTCTGTGATTATCTGCACCCTGTACAGACAAGTTTGGGATGACATTTTTCAAAAATCTATAGACATTAAGAAGATAAAGACAAAAAAAATGCAGTGTTGTGTCAGGTGCCTTTAACTTATCAGCAGCCTCACTGGGAAACCGTCACCACACAAGAGACATGATCTGCATTCTGAGTGGAAAAAGATGAGCGGAAACCCACTTATCTGAGCATGCAAACACCGAGATGCGCGGGGTGTACACAGCTGTAATACACACTGCTCTGCAAATACACAAACACACACACACACACGAACAGCAACTGTGTGTCACTCTCCTGGAACCACAGGCGTCTAGATCGCCGTGTGACAAAGCAGAGAGTGAGTCAGAGGGAATGAGAGGATGTGCATCAAAGCCAGCCTGGCTGATAGTGATCATAGCTTATGGCTGCATGGAAATGCGTAATGTGACACATCAATCTGAGCAGAGCTGCACGATAATGCTCTCTCTCTCTCCCTCTCTCTCTCTCTTTCTTTCTCTCTCCCACTTTGTTTGTGTGGCGATGTGCATGTGTTGGTGCAAACATAAATCGCAAGTGTGGCATCACTCAGCTATTATTCACGGTGCACACTGAACATGTTCACGCATTGACATTAAAGGGACTTTTTCTGTAGGGAACTTACAGTATATCATAGAGTTCTGCAATGAAGCCCTGGTTCTTTCATTGACATGAGTGAGTGTGTTGTCATTAGTTCCAAAGGAAGTAGTGGAAGTGAGCCACGCCACCTGCCTTTGGCATTAAAATGTGTCCTTACATCTTGTGCCTCGATATTGGAATCCAGCCTTTGCATTCTTCCAGTGTGTCCAGATTAGAGATTACGTTAAAATGTCAGTGAAACTGATGAAGTTCCTGCAAAAACGTTTACTTTATTTAACCAGGAAGTCAAATACAAGAGAGGCCTGGACAAGGGTGGCTCTTTGGCCCAGAGGCAATGTCCAAAAAAAACCAACACAAACGAAAAAAGCGAATGTAGCGCAATCCAATGTTTGCCGTACAACCAGCGAATGTTAACAAAGCCGCTTTCCGCATATCGTGACATGTGACTATGTATTCATCTAAATTGCTCACCAGCTAGTTCTCCTGCAAAATTTTTAAAAATAAAATGAATCTTCATTGAACAAGAATTTGTGAATAAATTTATGGGAAATAACCACGAATCATCATAGGTTGAGGATGTCGTAAGAACAAAAAGACATTTTGTACTAAAGTTCCTTAGTTGTTCTCGTACTTGCATTTAGAAGCTAACAAGCTAACTGAAGCCCCGATGCTCCCGTCAATAACAAAGGATTGAATGAAATGTCAATTAAGAAGCGGACAGCTTTGGGCTGGTCTTAGCTAGCGCTGCCCAGCTGTTCGAAACATTTGCTGCACTAACAACCAGAACTGAGAGCAGGTGGTTCTTACTGTTGTACAGTAGATGATGTGACAAGACAAGTCGCCCGGCATCTTCCATTAATTATCTTTGGAGAAAAAAAAGTTTTTAATGATGCGTGCGGAGGTGTGGGAGTGGGAGGGGCTTCTTTAATGATCCCCCACGGTGAGAAGGGCCGAGGCCGATCTGATGTTACTGTACAGATGCTGCCTTTTATTTCCTCTTCTTCTTGGCAGATGTTCAAGTATGTTCACCCAAAACACCAATGCGTACATATGGTTAAACTGTGAGTCAGCATCCAGTAAATGAACACGTAGATTAAGTTATTCCTAAATTTTCCATCGTGGAAGGAAGAACATATTTAAGTGGAGTGTGTTTTGTGGACCACACATTACATTAGGGCGCTTTGACTGGTTGTCAAGACAACAGAAATGAACCATAAATACTATGTTTTTTTTCTCTTACATTATGGATTATTCTATATTTTAGAAGTAATTTGTCACTGTAATATAATAATAAAGAGCAAATGTACTGAATCCGTATGATAATAACTTGTGATGGCATAAGACATTATTACATCAGGGAGAAAAAGAAAGGTATTAGCTATTGTCTCAGGAATCCTATTAGCTTACTGGTGAGTTATTATGTTACTGACTTTTATTATATTAAAAAACTGTTACATCATTGACAGTTATTATGCTATCTGTAGTTATGACATTATTGGCTGTGTGGCATCAATAATCTGATTTAACTGTTCGTCTGCACAGAGGAGCTGCATTTCTCATTTCGCACACAGCCGACAGGACAGATCCACTCCCACTTTAATCTACTTTCCACACCGGCTGTGTAATAGCTCGCATTTTTAACGGCACTATAAATTTGTGCCTTGTGACTCAAAGTGTGTTTTTATGTTTCAAGTCCTTTTTCATCTGGTTAGTGTGTGTTTAACAACGAGCGTTAGACTCCCAGGTACAGGTGTCGCTGTGTTGTTCGTGTTAGTGTTTATTCTGTGACAGTTCGCCGATGGACGATAAATTTGACTTCTCTGCTGTACGGGCAAATGTAATTGTCAGTATTTTGTGTTCTCTCAGCACGGAATTAATATGACAAAGAACAGAAGTTTGGTGGGACAAAATGTATTTACCTGCACAAAGACAGAGAGATAAAAATATGTTTGCAATCAAAAAATGTTGATGTTGACTGAGAGATAAAAACATGTTTGCAATCAAAAAATGTTGATGTTTGTTTTTAGTATTTCCTCATGTGTTTTAGATTCTTAGCTTGTGCTCGCTAATTGTTTATACATGTGTATGTTTTATGTGTTGGTGTTTTATATGTTCTTAGTTATGTGTGGTATTTTTAAATGGTTTTAGCTAGCGATGTCTGATATTGACTTTTTGCCAATGCCGATATTGTCCAAACACTTAATTTCTGCTTCCGATCTCGACCGAAAATAATATAGTCCTTGTAATATTTATTTATTTACCTATTAAAACAACTGTATGATACCACATGTGAAATTATACATCTTTAATATATTAGTCGCATCTGAGTATAAGTCACAAACACAGCCAAATGATGAAAAAAAAGTTCGACTTACTGTATGGTTTGGAAAATACGGTACCTAAAACTTTCAAAAGATTGCAGCGTTTTAAATGAGAATGGAACCACTATTTTTATTTAAATATAACTGCAGTGGTCAAAGTCGAGTGTTGAAGCCGCCCTGTCCTCTGTCGTGTGTCTAATTCAATAAAATCATTGAATACGCAACATTTTCTGTGGTCTAGGTCAGAGATTAGAAGATAAATATTGTTTTTATGTAATACAGTGTTTTATGACCAATCTTATTCTGTTTTAGGTTTCAGAAAAACAAAAACAGAACCACTGGTTAAGAACCCCAACGTGGTCCACGAGGTCCTGGAGGCATCTCAGAGAAAACAACTTCCCTCCTTCACCACTGAAGCACAGATCCGGATACAGTCTAGAAGAAAAACCAGGCACCTTCACCACCATTAAAAAGTGTGAGTACAAATACTGATTTATTAAAATGTGGGTTTTTTTTTTAGCAAACCTGGGATCCAAAAACTTTGAATCACCTTTCTCCATAACTTAGTGAAGACACCAGGGTAATAACAGTGCGAAAAAAAAAAAAATGCAAATGCAGTACACACATTTCTGTCATCTTCCACTGTGTCTCTGCATCTCATCAATATAACCCTTGTGACTTGGAACACTTTTCACCTCTCTTGTCGTTAATCTCCCCTCTCACCTTTCTCCTATGGTGGCGTATTTTTAATGAGGAATCACAATTTGCGATAACGAGACCCTTAATGACGCTCTGACCCACTCGGCTGCATCTGCTTCTCGAAGGCAACTCGTGGAAGCTGCACTTAATTGCGTGAAGATTGCTTGTTTTTGGGTGAATGCCAATTAGCAGCATCTGTCAGCTTTTAAAGAAGTCTGGCAATCAGTGCTCCATTTGATTTGACGAAGACACCAGGCAGAACTGTGCAGATTTAATTAAGGCACTTAGAGCTGCGAGGATTTCAGAACTCTTTTGACGGCTGTTAATGTCGTGGTCTCGGAGTACGGCGAAGTTATTGTTTTCTCCTCCACATCCTTGGAACAACTTCGTCTTGGTTGAGACCCACCGAGCATCTCTGAGCTGGAGCTTTGGGCAGTAGACTGTGTGTAGAAACATGGCTCCAATGCTACTCTGCAGACTTTAAACAACTCCTTAAGGAAGGGGAGAAACAGTGTGGAAAACATGAGCTAATGACATGTGAGTAACGTCCTCGAAGAAGGAGCCTGTAATGGACTGGAACACTGATAATGACTTCAAATGTACAAACTCCCCTTCCAGAAAAGTTAGTGGACTTGGGACGAAAAGTTAAATTTGCGACACAAAATCACTTAAACTTCGATTATGCGCACAAAAGGAAGGAGGATATTAGTAAAATACCTACTGTTTTTCCACTATGTTTGCACATTCTGCTGGGTACTTTGACTTGGAAATTGGGTCATACATTAATTAGACACTGATCACAGGTACAGTATGACAATTAAGTCTTATTTACTTTCCTTTTATGCAGGTAAATAGTTTGGATGTCCGTTGGGATATTAACTTTTTGCCGATATCTTATATGCCAATATGGTCCACATATCGGCATATCGGGTCTTACATAATTATGCTAATATTGGACTAATAATATCGGTTGGCCGATACTATCGGACTCCCCTAGAAAATAGGTTGAAAGGTCACTGCAAGCATGTGTTTAACATTTACATGGTTGTTAAGTACAATTGTCAAGTATTTTCAGTCAGTCTTTTTACTTGTTTGGGTTGTTTTTTTCCAAAGTTGGAATAAACTGGCTTCCGTGTTTGATCTTGACCGTCATTGTTGACAATCAGGTTAGGGCAAAGAGACATTGAAGTGCTGGAGGAAACCATATAACAGTGGCTGACTCTCAAACAGTTGGTTGTGGCTAAAAGTTGTACTGGATCTGCACATGTTTTTGAGGTTTAGTATCAGTATCAGATAATAGTAACAATATTGAAAACTAGTATTAACATCAGCGCATACCTGTTGATAAGCAATACAGCCACTGGGGGCCGTCCTAAATGTTCATACACGTGAGTACAGTGTCCCTACTCACCCAGCGGCCCTTTGAGGAGTTCTGTTTTCTGTTCTGTTCTGTAGTGTGCCATACCATCCCAACTATTTCTGGAGGTACTGCTTAGTTGCCCAAAAACTGCAAATATGGTCCAATGCTCTATCTGTTGCACCACAGAGCCTCTTCCATTGGGCTACATTTCCTCTTTGAAGGTAGTTCAATCTTTAATTATTTAATAACAGGTTTCATTTCAAGAAAAGGAAAACGACTGTCCAGGGGACTAGACTGAGCAGGGCGAAAAAGTTACACTTCAAAACAGCCAAAAAGTAGCTTTGAAAGCTTTGAAAGTTTTAGTACATTCTAAATCACTTAATGTTTGACAAATAAAACCGTTTTGGTTTTTTTTTTCTATTTTGGAGTGTACCCTTTTTATAGCAAATTTAATCTTTTGTTTTTCATCAAATTCAACGACAAACTAACTTTCGGTTTGTTTTAAAAGGGAACGCTGCTTTATCGGGTGTTCGTGCGGCAGTATTGTTCAGCTACAGTTACACACAGCCATGTCAGTTCTTTTCATTGTCAGCGGTGAGTAATTATACAGTCGACAGCTTGATTATGAAAGGTGATTACGAAGTAAGTGCTCCAGTGAAAGACTATATCGAGTTTCACATTTCCTCACGCCTGATGAGGAAAGTAGGAAATATACAGTCTGTACGTCTCGGATGAAGACACTACGTTACATTCAGCATTTCTCCTCCAGTGATTGATGTGTACATGCCAGTGGCGTACTATCAAGACCAGCTGGCTTAAACAGTATAGGAATGAATGACTTATTTTTCACTATATTTATCATGAATATTCATAAAATAATACAGAGTATTCTGTTCTAGTCATTCATTTTTCGCTCTTGTTTTTCTCTGCTCGCGCTGCTCCCTGTCGTGTAACCTCAAGTTTTTATCCAATCACACTCCAGCCTCCTGCGTTGCCAGGTTAAAAGAAATCAGCCCTAAGGCCTTTAGAGTTAGTACTGCAGGCGTTGGCCTAAATGAATGGCAACGACATTACCAACCAAGGATTACCAAGATAACCAATCAGACTTTGAATTGGCATAAAGCTGGTATAGCATGGCCTTCTAACTGCATCTACCCATGATGCATCACGCCGTCGGCCATGTTGTGTGGCAAAAGACACGAATAGGTAGACGTAAACAATCGATAATGACAACAAAAGACAAGAATATTAAATCACAGACAGAATTGTTGCATAGAGATTCACTAGACACAACTACAAGTACATTTTGATATATTTTAATTTTATTGACATTGAACATATGAATTAAATAAAAGTATAATGTAGTTACCATTGCCATAGCATCCTTCTTTCTGTCGAAATATCCTCCGTCAGCGGTGACCGAATCCCTTTATGTCAAAAATCTTCATCTTGCGATCTCCATTCCCAGATCGTTTGGTAGAACCCCACACAACACAGGTATTTACCATTATCGGTGTTCTTTTGTGTATTTAATATCTATCTATACGCTGTTTTGCCACAAAAGATGGCGGACTACAGAACTATGTGTAGTAGCGTGACGTCATCGGAAAACTATCTGTTTGACCCGTCTCAAGGAAAAAGAGGAGGGGACATTTTGTGTACAACTAGTCAGGTTTTGATGAGTAAAATGCATTTGGTCTTTTTAATAATATTGTTATGGAAAATGTTATTATCGATGCTTTTTGGTGAATATGTCGCAGCTGTAACTGAATTGGCAACTCGGTTATCTAGGAAATAACGACTTGGTAGCCTACATTTCTGCATATTATGGATGGCTTCTATAAGACATAATGTTGTCAGGAAGATATTCATTTGTTCAGGCAGGATGCCACTGAAGGCCTCGGCGGGAAACGCCAATGGTATATGTTTATCCCACACAGAAGGGTATTGATGAAGTCTCTAAAGCTTTAAAAACAAGATATCACACACTAGTGAACTCAGTTTAGATTATGTGAAATCTTTCATTCGTGGGATTATTTTTCTCCACTACACCTAAAATCTTCTCTTTTTTTTACTCACTTTACTCAAGTGGACAGATCCTCAAGGTAGAGAAAAAAAAAACAAAAACAACTCAGCAAACGTCCATCAATATTTGAGCTCCCAGGTGGATCGCTGCAAATCATTTTTTTAGAGACTGCCAGACTGAGAGTCTCTACACTCAGAAGAGTACAACAGTCTTTTTAAGAGTCTCAGTTATATTTGACTTGGGTCAAATGTTGACAGCTCTTGTCAACAAACCTCTGGGACGTGTCAGAACTGACTGCTGTGTAGTGTCTAGTGTGAACATTTTGTTTGGTTGGCAGTTTAGGCAGACATTTTTATTCACAGCAGTGTGTATGTACTGTATGTAATGGCTGTAGGCGAGCAGGTAGAGCAGGGTGTCTACTGAATGAAAGATCCCACGTTCGTCTACCCGTGTCTGGCTCTGGTCAATCAATGTCAGTGGACATGTGCTGGACACAGTTATTGAAAGGCCATATAAAAACTGGCCATTAGAACTAAATGGAAATACTTGTACAAATTAGGCCCAGACGGTAGACCAGTGTAGACATCAACAAGGGGGTAAATATAATCACATTGAGAAACAAATATTTAGTAAAGCAGGACAAGTGATGGTGCATATTTGATTGGACGCAGTACGCAATCAACTGTGAAGACCGAGTCTAACTCAGAACCTTGGTAATTTGTAATTCTTGTCCTTAAAGCTGTAAAAATATGTTTTTTCCAAAATTTTCCATGAAACATACCATGTCAAAAAGTGTGTGTGTGTGTGAGTGAGATTTGTTGATAGTAGTTTATATAACTCTCATTAAGAATCAATACTAATTAATAAACAAAGATTTGTCATTTCCAAAATTTAGGGTAACTTGCCAAATACATGCTTTTGTGCTGTAACACCTCCCACCCCCAAAAAGTAATGTAAATTGTAATGACCAATACGTTATAAAAAATAAATTTAAAAATTTTAAATGGCCAATATTTGTTACATGTTATACTGGCTTAAGTTAATATCAGTTTTGGTATTTAAAAAAATGCCAAAAAAGTAAGTGATATTGTATCAAATCAAAAAGTGTTGTCCATTGACAGTTGTTGACTCTAAGGTAATTCACATTAAATTGACCACAAGTGTGAATGAAATTTTTGTGAGGGACGAGTGAACTGTCCAGGATGGATTTATCTGTGATTGGCTGCAGCTCTTATAATAATTAACTTTGTTTTAGTGAACAAATAAAAATATAAATGATGAGTAAAATGATGAACTAATTCATAAATTAAACAAACGCAAATACTAATAATACAAGTTGTGAATTATTCTTTTTAAACAACCTTTCCAAATGTCTTCTGCTCATCCTTAT